TCATTGAAAACATCCATGAACGCCTCCTGATCCACGCATTTTGGGAATACTCTCTTGATGTGTCGACGTATGTTCCTGAGCATGTGCCAAATACATGATACAATATTGGTCCTGCCCGTCAACACCTGATCGGTTGCCGCCTCCATCGCCGCCTCCTCGTCCATAATGATTGTTGTAGGGTAAACGTACCCAGTCTCGGTCTTGGTGGCCTCCAGCAGCTGCTGCAATCCCCAGGCATAATACTCCTGGCTCTCTTGGCGGCTCAACGCACAGGCAATCAACCGTGTACGATTTGTGGAGTCAACGACGACAAAGCAAGTCAAGCTCATGCCCAATCGATTAGTTTTGGCGGTGTTGTCGTGTACAACAACACAGTGGTAACGCTTGTACAAAGCAACCTGCTCTGGAGACATCCAGAACAGGCGATCCAGACAGCATTCCTCGTCCACCTCGGAGGAAAAAAACCACCGCTCCTTCTGCATCTTGGTACACAGGTAGGCCTGCAGTAATGTTGCTTCCGCGTTCTGGGATGGTGGTCGGCGAGCATTCTTATACATCTTCAGTCGGGCGTCGATCTGTTGCTTGTTGAAGACCTTGTTGGAGTTGGTGTATGTCTGTTCCAGCTGTAACATTGTTGCCTCGGTCGAAGAATCCGTCTGTGCACGCTCCTTTATGATCTCAACCATTCTTGGGGAGAGGCGATTGATCATGTGGAGATCCTGCCTAGGCTGGTGACCATTGTGTTGAAGAGACCTGATCTTGGAGAGGCGCCAAGCGGGCCTGATCTCTAATGGACTTGTAAAATTGAGGCCGAACAGACACCCACAACGTGTGCTTTTTTGGGAGTCTCGCGACTTTTCTGGGTCAACGCTCTTTCGGGCAATGTGAGAACCCTCTCTGCTACACGCGAAATAAACTGTATAACAAAAACAGAGCGCAAGAAAAGAAAGTGGCGTAAATAATTGGTTCTGGATCATGCACCACACTTTTCAATTCTCTAAATTTTATCCTGGCCTTGTCGTTATTTCTCCCCTCAACTTACCATGGAGACCTTTCTCAGGACTGGTCGTGTTCGAGGAACGAACTTTGATGTCGACGTTTCTGCTCCAGCCCCAGTCCTTGACAAAGTCGATCAAAGTCTCTGAGTGCGGGAAAATGTCACCCTCGTGTGGTTCCCATTCGTCGGCCAGTCTCAGCTGGTCCGTATTCAGTATTGATCCGTGAGCGTACACTTTAAGAATAGTCGGATTCAAGCAATCCTCCTGAACCTTGCACTCGGTACTAGTGGACGCGGCAGGCATACTGGTAGCGGCTGGTTTTTTGGTGGTTAGCGTCTCAGGAATGTTGACGGTGTATGGTCTGATAATAGTGGACAGGTCTCTGGTGGGGACAGCACGGCTCTTTATCACATCCTCGAATGATGGAAGATCGGACCCCGAGTCTGTGTTTGAATCCGAAAGGTTATTGTCCTCATCCATAAAGTCCCAGTCCTCGCTACCGCTCATTTCCTTGCCATTGTTTTGGTCCTTGCGATCATCGGTTCTTTTGCCATTGTATAGCGGATCGTCCCATGTCACAAAGTTGGCGATTGCACAACGAAGTAAGTCAATCTCTGTCTCCAAACCCCAGACCATTGGGGAAACGGAGGCCTGTTATTTGACAAAAGAAAAAACAGCAAATTAATAAAAAACAATAAAGTAAGAAGATGGCCAAGCATATTAATCGTACGTACCCTTTGGTGAGCAGATTGAACCGACTTGTATTTTAGGGTAGTATCCTCAGAGCACTGCCTGGTCTTTTGCACGTCTTTGCTCTATTAGATGAGCAAAATGCACAAGGTAAATATAAATAATGATCTTACAAGGACATTTTCATGTTTATGTCTTTGGCCATTATTGACACAAACGTTACAGGCCGGCTGTCATCACTGTTGGGACGTACTTCATCGTCAGCGGCTTTGCTCTTCTCTTTGCTCTCATCGTTCATCTCCTCCTTGCTCTCGCCATTCATGTCATCCTTGTCCTCGCCGTGAGTTTTGCCTCCTTTTCCCATCGTATCGTTACCGCTCGTCTCCTCCACACCATCACCTGACTTTTTTAAATAATGAAGGATTAGTTAGTATAGAACATTAAAAAAATGCAATAGCAATGCATTGTTATTAATTGCCGTTTCATTCCATTACCTTGGGTGCAGACTTGATGGTCAAGAGGGGGAAGCCTTGCGCCTATAAAACAAATACTGCCTGCATTATGAATCACATTTTTTAAAACAGTATAGCTGAAACCATGGCGCACAAGATCGCAAAAAATAATCTTGTTACCTTTTCATAGCCTATGACCCGCGCCAAATAAGCGGTTCGATAAATCGGAATGTTCTTTTCCTCCCATCCATGGCACCCGTTCTTGAAGAGAATGTCATGTTCGACTGCAAATGCGGCAATAATTCCACACGAGACCCCATCCTGTCTGGGCACCTTGATAAAGGCAAGAGGGGCGTTGTCGATTTCCTTCCAAGTAGGAAAGTATAACTTAACAAAGGCCTTGATAGCCCCGGTAGTTTCAGCATACTTTAGATGATCCAGCTTGGCGCTAGACTTATCACCAACTGACAAGGTTCGGGCAACAGCGTCGATTCGGTAAAAGATCCAATGATTGCTCCGGATGAGTGCAAAAGCATACACTCTATCTGGACGCCCCGCCTCGAAAAAAGCTGTAACCTTCTTGTCCTTCTCGATTGTTCGATTGATGTTCCATTGCCACGTCCAGTGCTGTATCGTTGATGAGGCGACGAACAAGGTGCGTTGTCCTTGTGGGCTGATACCCAATTCGCGTTGGAAATAACATGCGATTCCATCCAGGGCCTCGCCGCTCAACCACTGATTGCCGGCAAAACTCAAGATGGCCTGATAATCCAGGGGCTTGGGGAGGCTGTCTTGCAATCTATGTGTCTCCAGAAACGTTATGAGATATGTGTAGAGATCCGTGTTGATCGATTTCACGGGTCCATTGAGCCATGCAATCATCGTCGACAGCCTCTGTCGATAATAATCGGTCGCAGCTATCTCTGATAGAGTCCAAAAGTCGATGTGGGTGTTCGATCTCATTTGGAGGTAAAATCCCGATCCTGCAGTATAAAAATGGATCCAGTGTGGGGTTGTGCTCTTTTTAAGCTCTTTCGCCGCGTTTTGGATGGTGGCAACCGTGGGCTCGTCGAGAACGAAAGGAATGTTCTTGAGATGGTGAGGGGAACAAATTAATTTCCCTGACGTCGGCTCCTCAGGAACGAGCTTCCAACCAGCACGGAGTCTGCGTACTCTGGGAAAGTGGGCATCGACCAACTGTACGCCCGTCAACTCTTCGCGCCACTCGGTTCCATAGGGAATGGTGGTTGCATGCTTAGGAGGAGAAAAGGCAGGAATCTCAACGCAGAACTCCATGGACTAATCGTGGTGGACAAAAGAGTTGATATTAGTCTTTAAATTATTAACTGGAACTGGAAGAACATAACAAAACCTTGAGAATACCAACAATGCTCGCCTTCTTCACAATGATGGAGGTTGGAAGCCAAAGAAATTTAAAAGGAGAAATAACAAGAAGATGCCATGTTTTGGCCCTCGGTTGTCAGGTTTTCACCATAAGCAATTTCCAACCCTCGAAATTGAACGCAAGATGCATTCATTTCATTTCGGTTTGCCACGTGACCCGCCACCAACCAAGATTTTGCCACCAACCAACGCGACTGGAAATATTAGTTGTACTCTCTGGAATGTACGCTTACTTCTGTTGGTACCCGTGGGATCTAGGCCAGTACCTACAAAGGGCTACTTGCCTAGAACCCTTGTCAACAAGCTCTTTGCCCCTTTTCCCCCGATGCCCATCTGTCTTTGCCCTTCGCTTCTGCCATTTACATTCTCCATTCTAGATTCCATTTACATTCTCCATTCTAGATTCCATTCACATTTCAGGCCTTACCCCATCCCATTTCTTGTTCATCCCGTTCGTAGATAAATAGACCCCTTGTCCTCTTGTTCTTGTCCTCCAGTCTGCAATAACTCATCTCCCACCTGTCCCCACCTGTCCTCTCTTCCCTGCACGCTACTTCCATACTGAACCGTATTATAATAACACCATACACACTACCCATCCTGTCTGATCATTGCATAAGATGTTTGCTGGGATGCTGATTCTCTCTACCTTGATAGAAAAAAATGACAGCATATACACACCAACACCTTGTTTAGCTTGGACTGTATTGACTTGTAGAGACGGTAATAAGCGAAGGCGAAAATGTGCAAAGCGTTGACATAGTATACCTAAATAATACCGGCAAAGAAAATAAGCGAAGACGTTGAAGTTCACGGGTAGAACGGTGGAAATAATGATGGCTGCCGCTGTTTGAGATATGGCTGGCTGAAAACAAAAAAGCAAAAAAAAAAAAGGGAGGCGTTGGTTTGCATGCTTTTAACTTTTCGCTCCTTCGGCAATAATACTTCTATGTACATTGGAGCCATGACGGAAAGTACCTAGGTATTCCCTCACCATCCCTTGTCGGAGATGACATTAACACTGAATAACTTGACGATGACAACTGTATCCATTCATCACGCCCATGGTGTGTTGAAAGCATTAGAAGTCGCAATAACGCCTATGAGCAGCACCGAATTATTGTTTATCCCGTACAACATGTATCTTTTTTCATGTACCACAATTGGTTGAAAAGAAAGTGACAGTGAGGAGTAGTGGTCGTTTACGCCAATGGCACGATAGAGAGCATAATGTCGTGAGTTGTCTCACAAGTGCGCAAACGAAAAGAAACCGACGGGATGCAACAATGGTATGCGAGGCATCACAACAGCAAGTTTCAATGACTGGGACGATCTAGCCCCTTTTTTTTTTTTTTTTTTTTTTGGAACTATTAAAGTAATTTATATTCCACAAGAATAATGAATGTATCTTTACTTTGTCCTCCTTCCCTCCACCCTCGTTCTCTCGTTATTCATCATGAGCAAAGTCGATGTTCGGGCATTGACCCAGGCTATCAACTACCAGCCATCGAACACCAATACCTTTGGTCTCCAGTGGATGATGCATCTCGGTCAAGCTGCTAGCGGCCGCCTATTGTTACAGCTTCTTGAAGTTATTCCTTCGGTGAAGTCAATGGAGGAGCCCCAGATTGTTGCCCGCAACTACGGATGTCCTGCTATTCACCCACCAGCCGTTCAGAAATGGACAGAGACTGTTCCTTGCAAGGACACAGTCCGGAGGTGCATTCATTTTATGGCAGATGATGAACGTACGAGGGCCGAGGAAGATGACAAGTTGGGTCGACCGATGGAATTCGCTGATTTGGAGCCGTATTACTTTTACTATAAAGAAGCGGGGTGGTCTTTCACTCAGAGGCAGATCTGGCACCTTAGTCAAGTAAGTACTGTGTACTCGTTTGAAAATATGGCTTTGATTTATTATCTGGCTTTTTTTACCCAGCTCACCTTTTGCTTAGTTTCACATTCTAAGAGACTTTGCACTCTCAATCCAAGACATGCTGCATTGGCTGGACTCTGAAGTCGATGGTGTGGATGTTGCCTTTGCCGGATATCTCAAAAGGGCAATCCTCGACAATCCTGCTACTATAGGTCAGTCGTCCGCGTGTTTATACATCCGGTCCTTCCAGCCTAGATTCACCAATGCTATCGCACCAAGTTTTACAAGCATTTTCACTTTACGTGAGAGGGCGTGCCTGGACAAGGGCATTATGGATTGTGTTCTTGCACTCTTCACTCGTTGCTATGGTCTAGATGGTCGGATATTGTTTGCGCCTATTGATCTCACCGGGAAGAGACCCATTGCTTGGAGTACAAGAACAAGGAGACTGGCGATAATGATTTGCACATTTGTCCGAATGGATCATGAGCACTGGGGTGCGATTATCTTGGATCTGAACAGCCACATTATCTATTTCGGATCTTCATCCAATCACCCCATCACTCTGGGGCATCTCAAGCCTCTTTTGTCCTATATCAACCCGTTGTCTGCCGCTAAAGATCAGTGGACAGTTGCAATGAAGAACATCAAACCTCTTTCCACCTCTGCTCTGCCTCAACTTCCGGACCTCGGAGCCCTCGCGATCGCAATGGCGATGGAACAACGGTGCAACACTCATGCCAACTGGAGCAGACATACCTCTCTTTTCGAGTACCGACTCCGCCTGCTGCGTTTATTTACCTGTTACACCCATGTAAGTGTTTGCTCTTTTCTCTACTTTTTTTACGCACAAAAAAGCATACACACCTACACCCATCTCATCATTTCCCTTTGTCTGTTCTTCTAAAAAGATCGGGGCGGACACCATTTGGCGAGAATATTTGCTACATGAGCCGTATCTGCCTATTATGTCGCAGCATGACGATTTCATCCTTTGGTTAACCTCCCCATCTCAAGCCGACAGTAATGATGGTAGTGGGGACATTGGCCGGAACGTAGATGATGAAGGGGACAATGACTTAGTTGATGATGATGGAAATGGCAGAGTCGAGTGGGAGGAAGACAGTGAGAATGAAGGAGAATTTAACTATGGCGCTAAAGGTATATTGTCACTCTATTACGGCTTAGTGAAGAATGAAGCAACCACCAAAAAAATCAACTCGGTTTTAATTTCTCTTCTCTTGTCCTTGCTAGATGTACAAGACCGTTGGTTTATTAAGATGGTGAAACGCACTATTACGATTGGCCTGGATCTTTGTCTTACGCAGGATTCGATTATTACCCTTGTTATGAGGGACGCCTGTAACAAGCCTGATTTGGACCAGGCGCAACTCTCTACATTTGTAAAGAATTACTACAACAAAAAAAAGAAGAATTGGGCGAACCCCTGGCTTGAAGGCTAGAGTGAAGACACACAGTCCAAAGCATTTTGTTAACGATAGTAGAAATGAAGGAATGTAGCAGCTACCAGCTCCACTATTTCACCGCTACTTAACACTGGCCCTTTCTCAATTTCACTGACACTCAGCTCACTATATCTTTGAATGACAGTGTCTTTCTGTGAAATAACCTCTGCGATCAGCCCTTGATTACAACCGTGTAAATCCCATGTCCACGTTTTCCTGCATTGTTTTACGAGTACACGTTCATCTTTTCCTTCCCCCTCCCACGCAAATACGAACAAAAACAGCACACGACTCCATCAAACATATTATTTGGCAACGAGCATCCCCCTCCTTCCGCCAGCAAATGCAATCTTACCTACCTGCAGTTATCATTGGTGCGACATTCAATGGCCATCAGAGCCATTGTCGCTCCTTCAAACGCAATGGCATCATGTCTATATGACCCTTATGCGTCACCTTTTTACTGCGTGTGTATGGCAACTAGCCATCTCAGCTGCATCTTTGTAGCTCGTTTTTTAACATAACCATTAATCGAAGGAGAAAATACACAAGCGGCTTCATTTTTTATTGCCGTGTCTGTTCATTCATCCCCTTCGTTTCCTCTTTGCCTTGACTGTGTTGCTTGGTGCATATTATTTTTCCTTGTCCGCGCCTCGAATGTCTCGCGTGCTGTATGTTGTTGTCTTACTCTTGCCCTCACTGTCTTGCTTGGTGCATTTATTTTTCGCTCTGTGTGAGCCCTTCGATCAAATCCACCATACAACGCCTTTTGGAGGAAATGCCCACAAGTTCGTTATTCAAAGGTCGGAATACTTCTACCAGAGCTTGTCTTTTGAATAGTCAAGTCCTGCCTAATAGACTCGGCACACCGCATTAAACGCAGAGAACAATCCCCCTAATTTATCCTGCTTTCCCAAACGACCTCTTCCTGTTTTTCATCTTTCCTTACGTAAATGATACCTATGTTTAGAAAGCCCTTGCCACGTTTTCCCCCAAGACCGCCAGGCCCCAGGTTGCCCCGGTTACGCAGGAATAGGTTTTGTCCTACTTCCATTGAACGCGTAATGTGATTTCAGATGTCACATCACGTGACTTACGCCACCAACTGAGCCACCACCCAAGATCCAAGCCCACCCATGTTCCAAGCCCCGTCTAACATCCCAAGCCCCGTCCAACATCCAAGCCCATCCAATGTCCAAGCACTGCCTTGGTTTCTTCAGTTCATCTGGCCCTTAGCATGAATAGTGTTTCTTAAGAACATAGTGCATTCGCATTTGCATTCGCATTCGCATCATGTAAAATCAATGGAAACCCCTTTATTTGCATTCGCATTTGAGAAACACTAAGCATGAACATACCCCTTATTCCCTTATCTTATTCCTCAGTCTGCAATAACTCGCTTCCATCTGTCCCCTGCCTTTCTTCTGCACACTCTTCTTTTTATTCCATCCTTTTCCTTCAGAATAAACATAACAAATACAATACACATTCATTCGTGTTCTGTCTAATCATTGCAGCCCTCTGGATTGTCTTTTATGGAAAGGATAAGAATGGTATCTTTTCTCTATTTCATTCTGCTCTCGCCTTGAAGACGGCAGCTAGGGATGTCAGTCGACTGGGGAAACACCGGGTGCAGTCTTGTTATTTATTTTTTCCGTACGCGAGTTGATTTTTTAACCCTACAGTTCACGGATTGTATCTAATAAAAAAGGGCTTTTAAAAGTCTGCTCCATGACACCATATAACAAGCCACAGTCCTCTAATCCTGGCTCGTCCGCTCTGCACAACAATCGATCCCTCTCTCAGGGGCGGTGCGGTAGAAAATAAACTAGATACGAATGAAGGGAGTTCTTCCCATTCTCTCCATAAATGACAAGCGCCTCTTTCCTACCGGGTTTTCTGGCAAACGCGCATTAGTGGTGCGAAGATCAATAGATAGACTCGAACAGCGCCTATCGTCATGTACAGCTAGAGAGGCACCTCCAAGTAACCAACAAGCTTATGTACGACCTAAACCACATCTCACCTGGTTACCACCTCTATCCATTCCATTATCTACCGATACTTCTATCTGAATCGCTCCCCTATCTAACTACGTACCTATCCACCACACCATCCAGAACTCAGTAACCCTAACACGTCTAATTACCCTAGGTTCCCCTGCACAATAAACGTCATCGATTCTTGCAACTTTGCACTCGACCTTTCGATCCTCTTGTGTCCTCTTATCTCTTCCTTATTCTCCCCCTTGCTCCATGTCTTGCTCTTTCCTTTTTTCCATGCCTTACCTCTGTTGCTATTACAGCGAGGTCCTTAGTTGAGCACCATACAATCATATACATCAAAACAAAACAGTAATAAAATCCATTTTCCAAAGCAGTGTGTTGTACTGATGGGCCAACTCATGGACTTAAAAAAAAGCATGATGGACAATGCTTGGATAATGCTTGCACAACGCGAAAAAAACGAAAAGAAAATCTAGTGACAGCTAAAGGGGGTAAGACCCATTGGCATCAACATTCATGTATGCATCTATGTTTTATATCCGTCTCGTCTAGGGTAAAGTCCATGGTATAGGAGTAAAACAATAAAATTATGCTAACAATCATGTATCCTGCGCCCTCATTGCCTTCATTGCCTTCGGATGTGCTGCCTTGTTTTTTGTTGTTTTTTTTGGCTATGTACAGGTGAATTAAAAAAAGAAAAATATCCTCATGGAATCTAAAGGGTCAAGACCTATTGGTATCAAGATTCATGCATGCAAGCATGTTTCACGTCTGTCTCGTCCAGGGGTAAAGTCCATGGCATAGGAACATAACAATAAAAATATGCTAACAATCATGTGTCCTTTGCCCTCATTGCATTCACTACCTTTGCATGTGTTGTCTTTTTTTTTGGATCCTTTTTTATTTTTTTTTTGGCCTACATTGCCTACGTTGGCTATGTACAGATGAATGAAAATTATCCTGATGGCAGCTAGAGGGGCAAGACCTGTTGGCATTAAGATTCATGTATGCATGGATGTCTCTCATCTGTCTCATCCAGTGTGAAGTCCATGGCATGCGAATATAACAATAAAAATACGCCAGCAACCGTGTGTCCTTTGCCTTCATTGCCTTCATTGCCTTTGCATTTGTTGTTGTTTTTTTTTTTTTTTAGAGGGAGAGAAAGATAAAGAGAGAGAAAGGGAGGCAAAGAGAAAAGAGAGAAAGACAAAGGCAGAGAGAGAGAGAGATAGACAAAGAGAGAGAGGAAAACAAGGAGGCAGAGAGGGACAAAGGAAGGGAGAAAGAGAATGACAAAGAGTGAAAGAGAGGAAGTTAAAGGAAGGGAGAAAGAGAATGACAAAGAGTGAAAGAGAGGAAGTTAAAGAAAGATAGAGGGAGAGACAAAGAAAGAGAGAAGGAGTGTCAAAGAATAAGAGAAGGAGTGTCAAAGAATGAGAGAAGGAGTGTCAAAGAAAGAGAGAAGGAGTGTCAAAGAAAGAGAGATGAAGACTAAGAGAGGGACAGGGAGTCAAGGATAGAGAGAGACAAAGGTGAGAGGATAAAATGGAATGAGGGCTACTTGAACAAAGTCTATAGTGATCATCCTCCAGCGGGGTATCAAGCAAGGCGTGCAAGTAACAAAACCCGCAGTCGAGAAAAATGGTGAAGTGTATGTATATGAACATTT